TTATCAGGCTGACCAGGCAAGGTATATTAACAGTTTTTTTAACATTTACTTTGCAGTACACAAGAAAACCAGAGCTGGTATAAAGCTCTTGTACCTGATCCAGATTCTAGTAGGAACACAAACTGTTCAATTTTTGGCTGCTGTTGACACTTTTCTTCTTGCTTTTCTACACTGAACCAAAAAAATGTGGGAGAACTTCCTGAAAAGTATAAATCACCAGTTTGCTGTCTGTCTTATTTATGAAGAGAATTGTAATCTTTAGTATGACTGTGTATCTTTTTTTTTCCCCAAAGGTTTTACTGCTGCTCAGTGCTTGACATGACTGATTCAAAAAACATCTGTGGACAGCCTGCCATATATTTCAGTCTTTCACTATGATTTAAAAATGTAAGGTAATACATAGTACCAGAAACAAACAAATAATCCAACACTATTTTTTTCTAAGGCTTAAAAAGTACTTTATATATAACACAGGGGTAGGAAATGTGTGCTTATCTGTGTCGCTGGAATATAAATGTTAATGAAATATGTAATTACAGTGTTAATGATCATTAATTCTCAGAGGCAAATGATTATTTGTGGGAATGCATTGTCACACTAAAAATTAACAAAACAGATTAGTTATAATTGCTGGAAAACTGACATTACTTGTTCATAATACAGCAGAATCTGAGACTTCATATAGTTACCTCACTTGAACTAGAAAAATTGTTTCTCTAAGTAATGTATGTCTATAAATCAAATAAATTGTTAACTACATTTTGTAGTTTTATTCTAACCGAAAAATATTTTTGATCATCATGAGTATGTGTTTTGATAGCTTTCAAGACAACTCATAATTGTAATTTTTTTTAAATATGTTAAGCTAAAAACAAATTAAAAAAACACAACAAAGCCAACAAAATAACCCACAGAAAAGAAATCATTAATTTTCTTCATAGACTTTTCATTAAATGCTTTCCTGTGTGTTTTCTCTGTAGCTTTTTATCAGTAGCTATTTTTCTCCACTGAAATGTAGAGCTGCCCTAGTCCCACATGATTTTATGTTAAATTCAGTAGTATCTATTTAACTGAATTTCCTCTGCAGAGACATAGGAAACATCTTGGGTTATTTGCAATCCATGTGCTTTCTATAGAAATATACCATTTCCAAGCATTTAGCTATGTAAAGTGTATTTCAGCTTCTCTGGAGTACTTCTTATTTACCCCAGGGACTGTATCTTACAGGAATAGTACTGAGCAATGTATCAAAAATATCTTTTTATATCTGTGCCAAACAGATCCTATTAAAATAAATCATTTAGGTGTTCTCATCACTCTTCTGGGAGCATGAACCCCCAACTGGACTAAAAAAAATAGCTCAAAAAGTCATTTAATACATCTAGGTATCCAGAAAAACATCTAAATTAACATACTCTAAAATTGCAGTTGTTGGAAGGCACATTTGGTTAATTCGTTTATTGGATGGACTATTTTTCATGTACCCTTCCTAAATCCGAGAAGTAAAGGTTACACACTTAAACACACATAATAATTTTTGGAAGTGTTCATTTGACTAAAACATTACCCCGTCCAATAAAAATGCTTTGTATCACAAAGTCATAGAGTCAGGTTGGAAGGGACCTCTGCCAAAAATAGGATCAACTAAATCTAGTTGTGCAGGACTGTGTCTAGTTGGGTTCTGAGTATCTCCTAGGATGGAGACTCTGCAGCTTCACAGGACAACCGATTACAGTGTTTCATCACACTCACCGTTAAAAGGCTTTTTCTTATGTTTAAACAGAATTTTCCGTATTTTAATTTGTACCCGTTGTCTCCATCATCATTGCAGATATAGAAATGTTTTCTTCCATACAGATGTTTTTGGTTGGTTTTAAAGATGATAATTGTTGCAACCTTCCTAATTTAGAGTGGAGCACATGTTAATGAATAAGCCCTGTATCTGTTCTGACTGATAGGACACATAGACATTTATACGCTAAGTTGTTAAAATGACACAAAGTAGTTATCATGCATTAGTTTTTTCATTTCACCTTCACTCAGACTGGCTTTATCTTCGGCTTGTGTTCAGTAAAAATAAACCTGTCATGTCCACAATATTTAAATCTTTTTAAACCATCTGTTCTTCTCTGACAGAGACAGTAAGTCTATTGCAAATGTGTTATTTATTTTGGTATTTCCCCTGTTGCTCCTCCTATCTTTTCTTGTGCCTTTTAAAATTATTTCTTCCTCCTCATATCCTTATGAAAATCCTTGTGCATAGAAAATATCATCGGTACACAAAAATCACAATTTTACATTTCTAGATACTTAAAGACTAGTGAAATTGAAAGCACTAATAGCAAGCCACAGAATCTTCTTAAAGGAAAAATTATTGATTTTTTTTCTTACAGAAGTCTTTTGATGGGTCCTGGTCATTTTTCCTACAGCTGGTCTAACAACATGGAAAGAGATTTTCAATCTCCTGTAAGTAAAGTACTGCACTGACTGTTCACAACCTGACATTATTAAAAAATATAATTTCTGAATCATATTTCAAAATTAGTTAATTTATAATAAACTCACATTTCCAAATTAACTATCACTCATTATTGTGTCTAAACAGGTCACAAATTGCTTTACAACCAGCACATCTTGTCTTCTAATGACCATTCTAATGAACTTTTCAGCTCTTCTGACTGTCGGCATACTAATTTGTTGAATAGGACTAAGTTTTATTCCATTGATGAAGTCTTCAGAGTTAAAATGTCATATATGAAGTTTCAGAAATACCATCAGAACTAATAAACCAATGATAACATTGACCTGATCAATAGGGTGGAATTATTTTGTTTACTGTGATTAAAGCGAATATTAAAGCCAATTCCAGACTTTTCTGGTCTACTAAATTTTTTAATTTCTTGGCGTTCACTTACTTTGATGAGTTGAAAACACATCTATCCCATAAAATAGCATTTAAGTAGTACAGTGCATTTAGAAGGAAAAAGTAGAACTTTGTTCTTTGGGGTTAAAATTCTTTGTTCTGTTTATCATCATTGAAGCAAGTATTGTAGACTGTACAATCACCATATGATGGAATTTTGTCTATAGGGATGATGTAAAGTTTTGTTGCCTCGCAATAATTGTACTAGTCTTTTGCATCCCTGCTCAAGCTGTCCTTCCTATTAATTTCTATCCAAAAAGGTTGCTTCATCAGATGACTTCTTTCTCCAGACCTGATCATTTCACAGCTGCACTTGATTGATGTTCCTTTCCTATTCCAGGATTAAAACTTTATAGAACTATTTTGTAAATAGTAGAGATGGGAAACTAGTAGTAGAAGGGTTGACAGGTGGGCCTAAGTATTTCTGTTGCTGCCTGGCGATCAGGATGCTTTGTGGTAAAATGCATTCCTTTTTCATATCTCAAATTCATGCATCAGTTCATGATTAGTACGCCCCTGTTTCCTAGTTAAAGCTGGATGAGTGGATGTAAATTTTGCTTCTCTTGTGTAGCTTTCTGAACTGTAGGTGTCACTCTAGGTCTGACCAATTGTTGTATGCTTCTTTCTTATCAAAGTAAATTATCAAGTGGAGGAGGAAGGTGCTGAAGATTTTACTTGTTTACTCCTGAAATATTTATATATTTGTATGTTAATGTGAACATACAGGAATTGCAGTAAAACTCTTGCACTGAATTAGGAATTATGGAACCCAGAAAAAGCATCAGTTTTTCAGTATGTTATCTGACTGAATATCTTAAGTATTTTTCAGGATAGTTCTAATGAATGCTAATTTTATTGCATTCAGGAGACTTCTAAAAGCCAGATAGATGGTTTAAAAATTTTATTTTGTTTTAATCCCTAACAAAAACAATAATCTTGACTGTATATGCATTTAGACAGGTACTTTAAGATGACTACCATGTGAGGTGTCTAAAGTTGAAAGCCATTTGGTAATCTGTTAGGCTGGCTGGATGTCAGCCTTTGCATTCACTTATGCTCAGATTCAGTAGTGTTTTTACATTAAATTTAAAAATTAGATGTCCCAAGAAAGTCAATTGCATTTGATAAATTCAGAATCTTGTTGTGGACAAAACTGGGATCCAACTGACGTGGGAAGCCAGCAATGTATTGTTAGTAAATTAACATGGTAACAGTCTAATGAAAATACAGACAGAATTTTTATTAGTCCAGTTAAAATAACACTAACACATGACAAAATATTACAGACAGGCAGGTCCTGACACCTGAGTTGTTAGGGCAGTATAGAGCCTTGTGCTTCCCTCTAGTGGCAGCAGATTTTAGTTTACTGAACTATAGACCAAATGTGTAAAAAGTCATTCATGACAGCAATAGCAGGCGTTGTGCTCAGCACCTGGCTGCATCGTAATTTAGACAGTAACTTCTGTAGCAATCTGCTTCACTCCTTGAAGGAGGAACTGACTCCAGAGGGGATTTCAAAGTCTTAAAGGACTGCTTCTCCGAACCGCTCCTGGAGAAGCACCTTTCTCAGCTCACTGCAGAACAGGTCACGGCCGCGAGGGCACTGCCAGCCTTCCCTGTGCCTGCCCAGCCCCCCGGACTCTCCTTACCCTGCCCACAGGTCCGGGCCCCATGACAGCTCCCTGGGGCTGTGAGCCCCCTCCCAGGTGACCCTGAAGCAGCAGGGCCAGACTCCAGGTCCCCACAGCCCTGCCCTGCCCGACCATGGGCTCTGCTGAGGCAAGACCACCTGCTGGCCTAAGTCCTGGCCCACCCACAGCCTGTCTCTGTCCCCAGGGAGGTGCCCGATGCAAGGGCTGGGACCTGGTGCCCCTGGCTGCCCTGCTCCTGCTTGGGGATGGGACAGGCCCTGGCTGCCAGGCCATGCCATCATCCACCCAGGAGAGGCCCCAGAGAGCTGCTGGACCCAAGAGGGATGAAAAAAGGGCCTATATTCTAAGGTCCAAGATGAGATGGGGCCTGAGTCATGGACAGCAGTAGAATGATGCCCTGGGACAGGCCAAACAGGGACAGAAGCGCTTGGTAGTGCCCTCAATAGCCTGACTAAACTACCCTGGAAACACCAGCTATTTAAATATGATGTTAAAACTTGGGTGTTGAGGATACTAATGCTGTTTCTTTCAGGTGTGACTATGCTGTGTCTTAAATCATTAAAATTGCAATCGATGAATTTTAGGATGCATTTGCTTTTATTCTGTTCCTCTAAAATTTTGTCTAGGAGTGAGTAATGTTCAGCAGTATAAATCCCTGCAGAAGATATGTGGTTTTATGGGTACAATGTTCCCTACTCTACACTATTCACTTTCTCATTCCCATACCTAAAATTGCTTTCTGAAATCTGCCAAGAGGTTCAGGTGCACTGTTAAATGGATTTCAAGGCATTTGAGAAGATAAGAATTCATAACAAGTTTTGAACTTTAAAAAAGGGAAAACAAAATTTGAAACCTCTACTTAAACTGGAAGAAATGAGAGCTTTGACAGGCAGGTGACATGACCTTTTCTTAAATAAATTTTTGGACAAATGGGGTCATGAAAGTATGCAAAATATTAGAAAAACATTTTTTTTTAGAATAGTATATACTAATACATTGGAATACCTAATGAAATCACCCTAGTGCTGGATTAATATGGTAGAATTGAAGTTTCTAACTTTTGTATAGCCAAGTGGATGACTTTTCTAGAAAGAAAATATGCTTTTAGAAAATAACTGATATGATACATATGTGGAAAATGAGTGAGGGTACTCTCCCATTTGAGTAACAAGTACAGTCAACATTTATGGACATTATTTTTCTGAGACAATTAGCATTGATTTCTAATGAGGTAGGTAAAATAGCGGCCTGAAGGAGAGCTGTCATATTACTTTTTCTGGTCTCAGTGCCCTGAATATTACTTGATCAATTACCGTATGAATTCAACAACTTTCTCTTTTGCCTCTAAATCAGAAGACGTGGTAGATATGACTTCATTTCTTTAAAAATACTTCTGAAAGAAAATCAGTGTATTAAATTATTTGCTTTATATCATTTGGACAGTGGCATACGTGGGTTTTTTTCCTCACACACTGGTCATTCACTTTATAGCCAGCATCAACTCATTTCTTCTCAGTGCCTCTGTCGAATATAATCAGATTTTTAAACAATCATTTGAATCCTTAAAAAACTGGTTCTACAACTCCATATGCTGAATAATTTTCCTTAATTTTTTTCCAGTACATCTTCAAAACTTCGGTACTTTTTGAAAATGATTGCTATCACATTCAGCTTTTCGAATAGGAAAACTGAGGGGAAAGCTGCTACAAACCAGAAAACTGTCTTTCTCAGCATAAAGAGTCTGTGAATAGAAACTCTTTATTCAACCCATATTTGCTCCTTTGTGGTCAGGATCCATAAGGAATTGTTGAGGGCCCTCTGTTTGACTGCCTGTGCTCCAGACCATCTGTGATCCAGCCCAGCTCTGGGGCTTTGGGCCTGCTGCTGGAGAGGCCTGCTGCCATGAGAAACAGGTGCCTGGCGCTCAAATAAATCTTACTCTATTCTCAGATGATCATACTGTATACTTTCTGTGAATGTTCTAATTTTTCTGACCTTTGACTTTTTTAGGCCAAGAAGACAAATCATAAAATGAACTCTGCGGTTTTGTTTCAATGTAAAATCTTTTACTAGAATGTAAATGTTTCATGAAAAAAAAATCCTACTTAATTTTTTAAACTTTTAAAAGTCATAGTCTAAGTTAAATTGCTTTTCAATGTAACTTTAAATATATCTCCACCAGAGACTTTTCCTGACAGTTTGTCAAATCAATGTGCTAGGTAAAATATTTACATATAAATTTTTTGCAGTGTTGCAGCTTTTTACTGTGTCCAGTGAAATTCTGCATTAATATGATTCTTTCTGAGTGCAGGCATTTGTATATATACATTATATTAACTACTCATTGTGGTGACTCTTGAACTGATATGACAATGTAAACCACGGAAGTCTTTACATAATTTTATTAAGTTATGTGTAGAGACACCTTTTCTGAATGTAAAGAAATCAGAATGGCATTTAAAAGCAATGATGTTCATGACATATATGCATCAGTCTTGCGTATATTATCTAAAAGTACAGTAAGATGCTTAGTTTCCCTTAAGGACAGAAACAAAATGTCTGAAAAATCTCAAGATAACACAGTTGTATTGAAATCAAAAGGTTATAATATTTTGTGATATTCACACTAGAACTGTTGAATGTTTTAAGTACCTAATTGGCTGTCAATATTTATTGCTTCAAGAATGATTTAAAAATAAGGACTATTTAGTTTTGTGGCCTAAAAAAGTTCTATAGTTTTTACATTAAGCACTGGGTGATCAAATATCAAACAGTGTTGATCTACTATTGAATGATGATATTTAATTGTGGAGATGGAGGTTCCCACAGTTCTCTGGATTTAATTGTAAATTTTGATGTTTCTTTTTCCTCACCCTTTACAACTTTAATTGAAATAAAAATAGGATTTTACAGAAGTGCAGAATCCAGCTTTGTTTAGGGCAGGATTGTCTTAGCTTAGTGATGTCAGCTCCAAGAGGTATGTTTGCCTGCCCCCATAATATGGGTCTTGAATGTAACAAGCTTTATAACAGGATACTTACAGAGCAGAAAATTTCCTACCATGGGGTCATCATGAATATCAAGAAACACTCAAATAAAACAGAAGTTGTTGATCAGGTTGGAGAGGGTTTTTTGAGAACTTTGGAGAACTTGACTAGGCTTTTCTATTACAAGAGTCATGTAAGTATCATGAAAGGTAACTGTTTGTCATAAAGCAAACTATAACTTTTGAAGCAAACAGGGTACTAAGGATACCAGCAAGTAACATTATTTGGGGTAAAGATTTGATGCAGTTGCAAGCTTTTTCCCCTGGAGTGACATTTAAGTCACTTAAGCAGTGCTGTGTTGTTTATTTTTAAACAAAGTTGAAGGTTTATTACTGTGAGTAAACAACATGAAGGAGTAGCATGCGCAAAAGTCAATAATTTAGGAGATACAGTGTTAAGACCACAGCAAGTAGAATTAACCTGTGACATTGTAGCCACAGTAAACAAACTGCAGCAATCAATAATGACATTAATCATCTTCAGATAAGTAAACAAACAGATTTGCCTCAGATTTCAGGTCAAAACCCGGTCAAAGGATTCCTCATCCAGCAGATGAACAAATGTGTTAGTGTTCAATCAAATCCAGACTGAGCAATTGATGAGATTAATCCATGTGCGCTTAAAAGACGGGTAGAGAGTTCTTCAGCATGGAAGCATGCACCTCATATCTAAGTTGATTTTACTAGAAGTACAGGACTAACTATGGATGTTGTGCTCTGCACTGGTAAAGTCCATGGCTATGGAAGCTTCTGTGGTTTCAAAGGAGAAAACAGTATAGTGTGTCAGCCTTGTTTTTCCCTTCCCTCTTCTCCGTTCATTTCATGGTACATAGGAAGAGAGACAGTGAAGAGGAAGCCCAGGGCATTGCTTGTGAAGGTGACTGTGCAGATGTAAAGATCAATGAGGAAGATAGAGTAACTCTCACTTAATAACTTTGAAATGGTATTCTGTAGTACTTGGGACTATAGTTGCCCTGCCAGCCTGTTGAAACCAGCATGGTATGCCAAGATACACTTTTCAATAAGCATATTTTTGTTTCCTGGCCCCTTCATTCTATTCCTGTAGTATCAGTGAGAATGTAACTGGAGAATACTACTGCAAGCAACTGAAAATTGCTATCGGCCTTTCAGCTTTGTACTTGTACTGTGAAATAAGTCAAGCTTTCTTTAAATGCCACATAATTAATATCAGTGTGTTGTCTTTTCATACTGGCATTTCTTTACTTCTCCTAACTAAAGATTAGAAAGTATTTCTGCTTTTATCCCTTCTATTCTGCAAAAGCCACAAACCAAAAGCAGAGATTTAAGGCCCTCCATCCTCAAGTTGATAAATATATAGTAATGTTATTTCAATATTATCATTGAGTCTTATATAATTTTCAGTCTGGGGAGAAAAGTACAGATAGGACTTTTAGCTTTGTCTTTGCTTCTCACCGTCTCACTCTATTTTTAATTTGCAATAAATTAAAATAATTTTCCCCAAGTTGAGTCTGTTTTGCTCATGACAGTAAATGTGTCAAACACATGTGTCAAAGCAAGAATATAAGAACAGAGTAAGCATGTCTGATACATACCAGAGTATGCATCCTTGTGTTTAGTAGCCCTCAATAAACAAATCCTTGGAGAAAAAATCAAATTACTTTTTCAGTCCTTGCAAGCATTTGTTGCCTTCAGTCCCCTTTGGTTGTTTTCCAGATTACTTATCCATCATCTGAAGACTTTTGTTTGTAACTGCCATCCATTAGTTTCATCTGATATCACCTAATTCTTTTTCTGTAAGAGACAGTGAAAAATGGATTTCTACTTTTTTTCCCTGTCCCTCATGACCATGAAGACCTCTTTCATATCTGCTTTAGTCATCTGTTCCTCCATTTCCACTGTTCAGTGCACAGAAACCATTTCAAGTCCCTCTTGTAATCCTTTCTCTGTATATCTTCAGAAATTCCTTTGAATCCTTTTTCAGATGGAGGGGATCAGTACCCGTAACTGCACACCGTAATCAGGATACTACTGAACCATGGATTCATAGTGTGTCACAAATCCCCTTTTTTTCCATTTTCTTTCTCAAGTTTCTAGCTTTAAATTGCTTATATTTGATAGCTTTTGAGTAGTGAGCCAACATTTTATATCTATCTATTATAGTTCCAAGTTTTTGTCTGAGCTGTCAGTCATATGTAACATTTTCCAATGTACAGCATTTTACATTTATTTACAATTAATTTAATCTGTAAGTATTAGAACTTTTGAAATTCTGCTCTTGATCTTGATTTAGTAGCTTAACATCAATAACAAAACTTGTCACTTTATTATTCACCCCTTTTGGCAATATATTGCATTGTATGAGTTTCCTCAGAGATCCTTCTGATGAGATGCTACTGTTATCTCCCTCCGCTGAAAAAATGTTATGTCCCATTTCTTCAATGTTTTGATTAATTATTCATCCATTCTGCACCATGACACTGCCTACATAGGTCTTTATGGCATAAAAGTACTGTGAGCAACTAAATTTTCACAGTCTGCAGAATGGAGTAAGTAGTGTTACAACTCTTGTCTAAGATGGGCTAAGAAGTTGTGCTCTCCAAAACCTAACAGAGATAGCAAATAGCTTTTGTTTTAAAGAACAGAAATCTTTTTGGCTTCATGCTATTCAGCTGATGCACTGATTGTGGTCTATTACTAGCTGAAGTGCCCTGTGTTTTCAGATGTGTAGGAAAATATTTTCTGTAGCACTATAAGTAAGATCTGTTAATCCATTGTTTCTGAAAAAAACCAGAAAGAACTAACTTTTTTTTTTCTTTATTCTAAGATTTAAACTGGTAGTCTGGCTGTTTCTAGAAGGAAGGCTGTATTAAAATGAAGAATTTTCTAGACTGTGTGTGTAGTTGCGTAGCAGTAAAGTTAACAGGAAAATAGAACAGGAAGAAGATAACATTCTTTCGCAAGAGTAGCTAATGTATGTGACAGCAGGCTAATGTTTCAGTCAATTTTTGGCATGAGATCATTTTTAAATAGATTACCAAGCATAGTTACTGAGGGACAGTAATGTCTCAGTTGCCATGCAACTATGTATATTGTAGGAGAAAAGAACAGATGTTCGTCCTCTTATGTAAAAAATATAGTTAATGAAGAACATGTTTCATGAGAAAAATGTTGAAACATACGTCATTACTAATGAAGACATAAATAACTATACCATGGCCTTTTTGTGTCACTTGTATTTAAGTTAAAATGTTAAACAAAACATAACACAATTATGTGTTACAATATGTAATTTTACAGTGCAGTATGTGTTACAATACCTAAAAGGTTATCCAGTTCAAGAAACAGAAAAGCAACAAAAATATAAACTTTCTGTTCAGAAAGTGTACTGCTATATTGTTGACATTTGATATTATGAGATATTACACAAGTTGAAGTTTGCTATGGACCTGTAAGAATATGAAATTAGTGAGCTGAACCTGGCTGGTAAATGCCTTGTGTTCATCCAGAAATAAATTGTCAGACTAAAAAAGTCTGTAAAGCAATGTATCACTGTGCCATTGCCAGCAGTTGTCATGTGTGATAGCATCTTTTTCTGGTTTGTACTTCAATATGAACTTCATTTTGTGGGCCCCAAACAACTGAAGATATTTAATATTTTATTTTTAGTAGGAATATGCTATGCTAGAATGTAATTCCCTCATTTTAAGTCCAGGAAAGTTTACCAGGATCGATCTCTTCAAGTGAGTTAATACATTAACAGATGCCATTTTACAATGCAAAGGTGTGGCAGATGAGTTTATTTTGGTAGTTTTGGAGTCACATGCAATATACTTTAGGTATACTGCAATATATTCAAAAAATAAAAATCTGTGTGAAGGATGAGCATTCCACAGATAGACTCTGTTGTGAAGCAGAGAGAAGATGAATTCAGGATCGGGTTTTTTTCTTTGTCTTTTTTAAAAAGACATCAACCTTTTGACACCACATTCAAAGCCTACTATTCATCTCACCTAAAATTTTGACAACTATTCTAAAATTTAATAATGAGTTATTGAAATGCCTAAATCTTCCTTTAGGTGAGAAGAAATGGCAACTTCAGACAGAGAATTTTTCTACTTATCCTGAACAACAAATGTCTCTCAGAAATAGTTTTCTTGGCTGTAAAAGGGCTTTTTACATAACTAGTTTCAAATGGATTCCTAAACTTCAGATAGTTGGAATAGGTAAAATCTATTTTGAGCTTTGCTATTTTCACAGCTCTAACCATTGTTTATGTAGATATGTGTTAGAAACCATGTGGGATAGTTCAAAATTTTGTTTGAAGATAGATAAATAAAAGCACAGTTCACATGTCCAGGGAACAGAATATGACTCTCACTTGAGAATTGTTTATATTTCATCCAACTACCTCTTTGGAAAAAATGTACTATTTCTTTTGTTGTAGAAAAAAAGTACAAAGAAATATGAAGATATGGATGTTTATGATCTGAAAGATTTCTTTAGGGTCTGGCTATGGTTAAAATACATATGTCCTAAAGCACTTTTTTTATTTACCATTCTTTCTGTGAGATTTATGTGAATCTTTTGTTATGTGTGCTTCACTTTGGCAGACCCATGTGTCAGTAGGGAGGAATGTATAATTAAAAAAGGTGCTCTTAAATGTTTTTCATACATGAAAGTTGAATATGGTTGGAAAAGTTGGTCTTTTCTTGGACCCTTGGTAACTAGTCTTTTTTTCTGTAATGGTATATCTGAGATTTTTCTTCCACAGTTTAGATAAATAAATAGTTTAGCCTTACCAAAGTATTATCAACAAAATTAGCTTCACAGTATATCTTTCAAATATTATTGGGGTTCTTGTTTGTTTAGAAAGACATTAGTTTTAATGTCTTCCTTTTTTTAAGGAAGTTACATGACATTTTTGTACAACAATTTTAATATCAGTCATTATTCTTAGAGATTGTATCAAAGAATGAAATGTCGGTGTTTGTATTTAAGTAGTTAATAATTTGAAAAGTATAAATCTCACAGACATTCATGATCTAGAACTGTTTTAGAATCTGATTGTTAAATCTTCAATCTGTAACTTTATTTTCAAGGCTGGTTACCATTCATATACCACACATATTTTTACCAGTACACTTCATCTTTAATCCTTGAAATTTATTTTCCTTCCAGAGGAAAATATTTAGGGGTGTTAAAAGTTAATTGAACTAGGGGATTTTTAGGATATAGGATTTATGAAAACATCGAATTTTTTTCCCTACATTTTTTTGTGTCTTGTAGGCTTTTTTATATCTCAGGGATACCTTCATATCTTTGACTTCTAGTCAGTGAAAGGTCCTTACAGTTTCTCAGTATCCATTGAAAAAGTCAGAATACATCTGGATATGTTTAATTACTTTATATAAACACAAGTCTTTAAGTTAAAAGCTAAAATAAAAGCACTTTTAAAAACATATTTTCTTTTTTGTTAAAAAATAAAGATTATGTTTAAAGCAGAACACAGGTTATGCTTAAAGCAGTATTTTTTTCTTTGTTAATTGTATTTTAACATGAATATTTATTCACGTTAAGAAAGATGTAAGAAGGTCCCTACAACAGAATTGCAGATAATAGAACATAATTATACGTTTATGTAGTTGATTATAATGTTGCTTCTATCAAGCTGCAAAAAACGGGAAAAAAAAGACTTGTTACACGCCATACCTGATGAACATGACTGTATCACTGTATTTGTTAGAGAGAAATCCAACTGTACTGAGTAACTTTGCATGTGTAAAAATTGTGTTGAAAAAACAGAATAATGTATTGTAACAATAAACTCCAAGGGAAAAAGAAAATCTTTCTCCTCTAATTAGTAATCTGGAAATTTTCCACAATGCTTGGACGTCTTGGTGAAAGATTTAATTGGCTTGGATTTTATTTTTTTCACAGAACAGAGTTGAAATTGTAGCATGGCTTTGCATAATGTTTTAATGTATGTCAAATATGCTACAGAAATCGCTTATATTTTTGTATGACATTCAGTATCAGGTTTTGTCATCACTGAAGGAAGGGCAGTCTTCTAGGAATATACCAGAATAAGTATATGATAGCTCTGGAAGAGCAGTCAATCTGAAATATCTTCTGAGTTCTGCTTTGTAATCACAAGACCACCTGGGTGCCCCTATCAAAGGCTGACAGGTATCTTTGATTAACAAGTTTCATATTTTTTATTCTGCCTATATCTTGAAGCTAATTTGTTATGTATGTGAAAATATAAGTTTGAGAGAATCAAGGAATGTAAATATTTAGTATTTAACTTAAGAGGAAACAGCTGCAGAGTCTATTACTTTCAGAGAAATGCCATCAGAAATGACTAAATATTTTTGAAATAAATCATCAAAAGTAATATGTTGGTATTCATGTTGTTTCTGAACAAGTAAACATTTGCCAGCAGCGACTGAAGTAAACAAGTTGCATTTCCCAACTAATTTTTGTAACGATTTTAAAATTTTGTCATTAAAATCATGTCTCATGTTTATTCCTGGTGACACAAGTTAGTCTATTCATGCATCATACATAAGTAATTTGAAAATTAAAAATAATTTTATACATTAATTGTATAAAGAAATTCTTAATAATACTGCAGAACTTTTCATGTTCTATTAGACATAGTAAAATATTAATACTATGCTAGATAGGGTTATAACCATGACTTTATTAAATAAATATGATATCTTATTAGAAATTGCTTTCATTTACCCTTGGGGTTGCAGTTTCTTATTTGTCTTTTATAATAAGAGGGCATGGCATAACAGATCATCTAAGAACTCTGTGTTGTTGGAGAACTGCCAAATAAAAAGTAATTTAAGGTACCAGCAGTAAAAGAATAAGGATTTATTCCCTTATTTGAATACTGTGATACTTTACAGCAGTATAACATGAAACATTTCCTTTCCACTTAAGAGTATACCAATTAGTATACCCCTAATCCAGAGAAAACAAACTTAAAACCCTGACAGATTTGTAATGTTAATTTTCTTAGTAAAAAATGTTAGAGGGACAATTGTCTTCTGCTTTCCATTTAACATTTTTCTTATGTTTTGGAATTTGAGAATTTGTTGTTGACACACTAAAGAAAGAATTAAACAAAAGAATCTGAGACTGTCTTAATTAACATTTTTCTATTACAAAGTGATTTGCCATGGTCAGATGGGGTAGAAGAAGGTTGATATCCATTCTCATAGTTTTCTGCATGACAGAAGTCAAGCTACATTTATAGACAAGTCAAAATGATGATCCACTGAATGTCAATATCAGCCCCCAACTCAGCCCCATGACAGAACTTCCAGCAAAGATTTCATACAACTTTTCTGTGGTTCAGCTCTACTTGCCACTGTCAGTAACCTTTAATTATTCTTTGTTTTACAGAACCATGTAGAAGTTCTACTTCAATGCCAAGCCTCCCTCTGCCAGCACATAGGAATCAATGACACTTGCCTCACAAAATAAACTTTCAGAGGAAAGGAAAAGGTAGAAAAAATGAAAAATCAGTGACTCTGAAGTCATATTATTACATCCTGGAATAGTACATTTTGCTGCTACATAAAGAACTACTTTTAATCTTTTAGTCCATGAAAAACAATAGCTATTAGAAATGCCTATAAATTAATGAAAGACTAGTTAGACTATTAAAGGCTAGTTAGGCTGTCAGAATTCCTTTGAATTACAATTTATAAGAAGTGTGTGTCAGGTATGGTTTGGTATCTGATTTGTCCATAGTGTACCAGAAGGCAAAGCTGATGTTCAGGGTGTGTAACTTTGAGACAAGTAATTTTTAATTTCCTAGTGCAAATGGGAAAATATCTTCTATTAAAATAGATTTTTCCGTCTTGTGCTGTTCAGTTCAGTATTTGTGTCATGAAATGCATTCTTGGTTAAAATATGAAATAGGAAAATCATGTTTCTGAGGAAAGAAATGTCTTACTCTTGGTATACTACATTTCTCTTTTCCACATGACTCTGCGTTTGTAAACTGAATTTATGAACTTGCATCAATGTAGGCTGAATTCTCTGATATTTACACTACCCTAAAAATTCCACTTCAGCAGTTGAGTCATGAATCTTTCACATTTTGTGTAAGTTAGTCATCAGTGTCTCAATTTCTTGATTGATGGTTCAATATTCTATTATATGTTATATTAAGCTTATAAATGGGATCTTAGATCACTGTGTACAGATCATAATATAAGTTCTTCAATTTTGATTACAGCAGCCAGAAAGTGCTACATAAATCATTTCAAACCCTGTAAATCAAATTATATTTTCCCTTTTGAACTGTAAACAAAAATCCATCACCATAAAAACCTCAAGTCTTTTAGTTACACTGGTGTAAACTGGACTATGTCCAATAACTATAGACTTTACACATAGCAGCATCAGCTTATAAATTTAGCACTTCCTAGTTTTTAGAGGAAAGCAAAAAAAATATATATATTATACAGAGAAAGCAATACTTAGAGAAAAAAATGTGGTTTATTTGGGGTAGGACAGAGATGGTCTCAAATGTGGGACCTTGACTAGGTTTTTTGGGGGGGTAGGAGTCCACAACGACTATTCTCAATCAACTTGTTGTCATTCCTATCATTGTATGTGATTTCCAAGAAAATTTCATGTATTACTTTTCCCAGGACTAAGGTCAGGACAACTATACATAGTTGCCCAGATTCTTCTTGATTTTCTTGAAGATGGGCATAATTCATTCTTCCCAATCCTGAGGAAACTTTCCTTTTGAACAAGACTTCACAATGGTATCACCCAGCACTTCTAACCACCTTGCGTACAAAACAGTGGATCTCATGGACTTGTAGGTGTTCGGTTTGTTTATGTGCTCCCTATTTCATTCTTCTGCTGTGGGTTGTGTTTCTCCTATGCCACACTACCTTGACGCTGAGGCCTGGGAGCCTGAGGAGAGGTTTATCAGTAAAGACAGAGAGAAAGAACCTAGAAAGAACCTGTTCTATTTCTGTGGCCTTTGTCATAAAGTTGTCTACCTGTAGGAACATATTTTTACAGTCTATCTTTGGCTTGGCAAAGTGATGATAGAGGCCCTTCTTGTCAATCACTTCCACTGCCAAATTCAGCTACAGTTAAGCTCTACTTTTCATTATTCCTTCTCTTCATGCTCGGGTGATGTTTCTATATTCTTGGAAGAGCCATCTTAGTTTGGGTACAGCTTTCTTAAGATCTTTCAATTTGCAAAAAACCCCAATATATTACTTTAATAACTCTTCTATTACAAAATGTTATAAACTGATGATATTGATTATTGTTGATACAATTAAGGATCTCCTAACTGAGTCATCTAATCTTGGAGACTTTGCATGTATAATGAGACCTGTGCTTTGTTAATAAAAGATAGATGTGTAAAATCTATCATAAACATTTTGTTCACGTTTCCCTTCATCATGTCACAAAGATTTTACAGTTTCAAGTGGATTTAAGCAACATACGTAATTCACAAAGTACATGAGCTGAATAGTCGGTATGCAAGTAAGATTTAAAAATTGGTTACCAGTAAAGTTCAAGTGTATAAACAGAGATTGTATTTTTAGAATACCAGTATTTGGCTTGTTTCAGCAAATCTTGCACAGAGCAATGACTGCACTCTTGTTTCTGTCAGCGGGCCTGATTCTACATTCATTAGTGGGATTTAATACCCTACTTTGTATGTAGCCTCTTGTGAAATTAAATCTGTAATTATTCAGTGTAAGTAAAAGTAATGAATTTGAGCCCAGTGGGATAGTCTCAAGAGACAACCTATAATTTGTTGACGTATTGACACTGTTATTGTTTGCTTGCTTCCATCTGTTTCTCAGTTCAACAAAAACTCTCTTTATGAAGCTTTTACATGTTTTACTCTGCTAAATTCGTGAAAATCAGATTCAAAACATGGCTGAATCAAACAATACAAATGACAGCAAATGATAAAAGAAGAATGAAGACAGTGTTTCCACTACAGGCAGTTGATGGTTAGTAAATATCTACGATATTTTCAGCAATAACAACAGAACTTGTGCTCATGACTTTAGATTCTGTACAGACTCAAAATGAAATCCGTTTTTTGCTGATACCCATATTTCCGGATGTACTGGTTTTGCCTGGGGTGCAGTTAACTTCCTTCATAGTAGCTAGTATGGGGCCATGTTTTGTATTTGTGCTGGAAACAGCATTGACAACACAGGATGTTTTCTTTATTGATGAGCAGTGATTACACAGCATCAAGGCCTTTTCTGCTCCTCATACTGCCATGACAGGAAGGAGGCTGAGGGTGCACAAGTTGTTGGGAGGGCACACAGCCAGGACAGCTGACTTAAACTGACCAAACATACCATGCAACATCATGCTCTGCATATAAATCCCAGGGAATAAAAAGGAAGAGGAGGACATTTGGAGTAATGGCATTTGTCTTCCCAAATCAGTGTTATGTGTGATGGAGCCCTGCTTTCCTAGGGATGGCTGAACAACTACCTGACCACGAAAAGTGAATTCTTTGTTTTACTTTGCACGTGTGCATGGCTTTTGCTTTACCTATCAATCCGTTTTTATCTCAACCCATGAATTTTCTTATTTTTCTGGTTTTCTCGCCCATTCTATCAGGACAGGTGAGTGAGTGGCTGTGTGGTGCTTAGTTACCAGCTGGGATTAAACCACAATACTGGTACTGTTCTCAACTAGTTATCATATAATAAAGTTTGAAACTGTCAGACAAGTTTATATTCGATGTTTATAAGGATACCTTAAAACTGTGTATTGCAAGAATGAAACCCACTTCGCCTCCGTTCTTTTACAAGACTACAGATAATTTAATGAAGGGTCAGAAAAGATACATTGTTCAACAGGAATACTTTAAAATTAAGTAGAAGAAATTCACACATTTTAGGTCATGAAAGACCAAACTGAAGTAGCTTAAGCCCAGTCTGTAATTCTCTAAACAGAAGAACACACTCACCTCTGCAGTTTGATGTGCAAAGCCAGTAGTGTGCAATTAAATAAACTGCAAGTTCGGAATGGGAAGACAATGTACATATTTATAATACATTAAGTTAACGTGTATTATCAAGAACTGTAATACATGTTTTATGTCAACTGTTGAAGCCTGCAGGAGGATGTCTGAGCTTGAAACATACAGTTGGTGGTGGGAAGAATTGCAGTGTGGATTGTCATACTTGTTGCTTTTGTCTCAACCATTTTGATACTAGCCATGATGAGTGTATTCTGAATTCCCCATATAGCATATAATTCTTCTGTATAATTGCTTTTCCTTTTGCAGGCACATAACTTGTTTGAGTGTTAGATGGGAGCAAGGGGGAAGAGATGGAAGAGGAGGAAGGAAACTGGTACTGATGGTATTCTTATCATTATCTGTATGCAACCTTTCCTGTACTGTTGATAGTGCTCACAGTTCAGCAAACCTGCTCATTAAGATTGCATCTAAAATATTGTATTGTGAAAACAGACCGAGGTCTGTGTATTGGTAATATAGAAACTGCATATTTAGTAAGACAATAATTATATAACTCACCAAGGTTGATTGACAAGTATAATTTAATATAAATTTTTACATATGCTTTATAGTTATATTCTGAACTTTAAAAAACTATTTATTTAATATGGACTGTACCCCTTTTGTTTATAAAAATGCATTTAAATTATTCATTAAATATAAATGAAATACCTTTAAATAGTGCTTACTCTGCTTTTGTAATTTTTTGTATCAATGAAATTTTTTTCAACTCTATAAACGTTATAAGAAATAGCAGAAGAGTATAAGATATGCATTTTATGAGATTTCTACAACACAAAATACCAGGAAGAAAAGCTATACACTTTTGAGTAGAGATTAGTGTAGGTCCATCATTCAATTACAAGTTCATAAAGCAGTGAACAAGAAAAGGTCAAAAAAATACCTCAGAAAAAAATAATTATTCGCTCTAAAGGGTGCATTGGCTTTTGTAGTTACGGTTGTTTTAAGAATGTCACTTGTCCTTCTGCAAAAGATGCCTTTGGAGCCAGACAAACCTATTGCCACACTACCAGGCCTCTGAAATCTCTTATTCTAGTTGTAAACTCATGCATTTAATCCCTTCCTGGAGGTGTCTTCCCAGCACTTGATTTATCTCCCTCAGCTTTATTTCTGTCAGGAATCACAGCTGGAAGACCTGTTGGCCACAGCAAATTCATCTACCGCTAGCACTGCAGTGATATAGTAGGAGATAGTGTGAGGTCCTGGGGAAGAAGGTTTTTTCCCTGGTGACATTTGAGGTGGTGGGGACACACTCCCGGGAAGAATACCAGATAATGTACTTTTGCACAATGTAACAGGTGTACTAAAACTTTCCATAATGTCACAGCCTTATTCCTGGATAATGTTCATACCTTTTTTCACACTTATTATAAATTGAAAAAATACTTTATAAAGATGCTTTATTGCCACTCTGTCTCCAGCATGTGACTATTTGGAGAAAAAATACAGCACTTCTCATTTTATAGAATGTAATGCAGCACTTCAAAACTAATTGTCTTCATTATTGCCAAGCAAGCAAAGAAAACATTTTAAGTAAGGAAAACAAACTGTTATGCTACCTTCAAAATCCTGTGTTTAGATTTTTTCTTTGTGAGATTTTCTATAATATGCTCTAATACATCTCCAAATTATGACATGAGATAATTTAATTTAAAATTCTAAATACGTACTCATAGCTGTGATGCCCAAAAAGGAGTCCAGTATGAAAGAGATGATGTCGTGAGTGCAAAAAAAGGCATTGATGACACAGACAGAAGCATATCTGAAGTATATAAACCAAATTGATTACTAACATGCTGCAATTATGTGAAATTTATGCTTTCAAGACAATTTCACATGAAGGTAATGATATATTAGAGATAACTACAAAACAAAGCAATAATACATAAACAGTTATGCACCACTTCAGAAATAAAATAAGATATGGGAGAACACTGATATAATACTTTTGCAATAGTTCTCAAGTGTGTTTCAGACAACACACTATCTTCTACTCACTTCTGTTCATTTTTCCATGGGTTATGCAAAATAAATTTAAGAGAGGATAAAAACATAGTTCCTTGACCTTGACAGAAAAGATTTGATTTCTTATCTAGAGTCATCTTTTCAGTAGTCTTTACAGGATATATTTATGTTTCATTTTTTCCCCTGAGTGGAATAAAAACATTATGGTTTACTTTCACTTATAATATTCCCTTCTTCTTCTGTTTCTAAAAGTTTGTTTTCATACCAAAGTAGAGCTACCAGTAGATAAGCACTGATTTTTTTTCTGTATTTTCTCTAAGGAAAAATAACTGTCCACAAAATTGATTACTTTAAAATATTCCTAATTTCTTATTGTTAAAATATTTTTTTTCTTTTATTCCTAATTCTTTCCTCATTTGGGAGGGAAAGAGGGGGTTATGAGGTAGATATTCTACTCAGGTTAACTTTAACTGTCTTCTTCTACTGCTTGTTTGCTTTAAGAAATACCATTCAAGGTGTCATATATCCCTGTTGTTTTTGCCTGCTAGAAATCTCTGTTTGAACAAAATTTCTGAGGCATATCATAGGAATCCCGCTTGGAAGAGTGAGTCATGAGGACCTGAACAGAACTGTAAAAGGAAATAAGTATTACTTAGTGTTCGTAATGAACACTATGACCTGAAATAAATATGTTAATTTTGGATAGTTAAAATACAGAGATTCTAAATAATATCTCCGTGAAAATAGGCTTAATAGAAGCAATACTTTCTGTAACAGCCTTCTGGGAAACCTCTTACTTTGTTCTAATTATCACATATAGTTACTTTACCCAGTGATTGTTCTGAAATTATATATTTCAAAATAATAAAAATAAAAAGATCTCTGATTACACAGTGCATCAAAAGCAGTGCTTTAGATAGTATTTAATTTAGTAATATCCACATATTTCACATAAAGGTAAGAGATTTTTTTTTCTTTTTTAATCTGGAAACAAAAAGATTCTGGCATTTTATTGTTCTGAGAAGGAAAGAATGCAAAAATATTAAAGTTTTATATTTGAACAGGTAGTAGACTATCATACAAATGTTCCAGCATGCTGCAAGAATTGTTGCATTAATTTCTGCAACATTATATTTGTCTTAATTTCCCTCATAATATCCTGAAAGCATAAGTATGGCTTCTTAAGCTCCATCTGCCATTCTTGTCCTTATTATTTCAGAAAGATGGTCTCAGTACACTTTTCTGGATTTTCATGACATGGCACACTAAAATGTCAATTCCTACCTGAAACCATAAGGAAAACCCAAATCTGTGGGCAGCTTGTGAGAGTTGACAATCTCACCATTTCTTGTTTATGAAGGAGAGAGGCAATTTGTTGTTTTGGTTTTGGTTTTTTTTTTGTTTGTTTGTTTTTAATTGAAATGAAAATCCATGTTGTGACTATTCTGTTCACACTAGCTTCATAACAGGGTTGAGCAGTGCTGGATGGGTAGCATGGATCTTTCCTTTCAAGTACTTATTGAGCATTGCAACAAGAAATACAACCAGCTCTACATGTGTGTAGCTTCACATGTGTTAATAGATAAGGGAAATTCATTCAGATGCACATTTTGACAGAGATAGCACAGCAGTATGTGCTAAACAGAGTGTCAAAAATGTAGCCAGCAGTGCCTGTACAATGTTCATTTCTACCCTGACACAGCCAGTGGGTCAAATCAGTTCCACATGTGAGGAACTTTTGGTTTATGTGGCCAGATTTTATTCACATTTTCAGAGGAATCCTTCATCTCTGTGAGCTGCTGAGTGTTTTCATTCTCTGTTTTGGTCATTAGGCTGGGTGACATAACTGATTTAAATTGCCACTAGAACACCACTGTAGTTAAGAGAGAATTTTTTTCCTCATATAGAATATATTCAACCTTCAAATTTATTTCTCTATTTATTTGTGTCTTGGTTGTCAAACCACTTGATAGAGGATCCATATAAGAAGTCTATGAAAAATATATAGATATTATTTGGTCTACAATTTCCATGCCTGATAAACAGAATATGCTCAAATAATCTTCTTTATGTCTTTTCCTTTTTGAACCTGCTTGTCTGTCATAGCCAAAGTTTGGAACTACTAGTGGGTAGATACTTGAACACTTAGTGTGCAATCGACATTCAATATACACATCTGAGAGACCAAACTGAAACTCTTTTTCTATTTTAGCAAAAGATGGGATAACAATCAGAGCTGGTATTACTGGAGGGCAAAATGTCAGGAAAGCAATCAGCAGATAAGCAGATAAAATGGTGGTGGAATGGTATCACATATCAGACAAGGCTGTGAAGTAATGATCAAACAAGGCTAGAGAAAGATGGAATGAATGTGGAGAATACTTCTGTCACTGGCTCCCTCAAGCACCCCACAGTACTTGATATGAATCTGCTGAAGAAAAACAATTGGACTGTATCATAGGAAACATGACACTTGCCACAAAAAAAGCTTTAGAAGTGCATTGTATGATATTGCAGAATGTATTGTCCCATTTGCCAAGATTATCTTCATTAGGTGAATGTAACATTATTTGAACTATTTGTTGGTCTCAGAAGTTTGAGACTAACATGCATTACATGACCCAGATGATTAGTACAAAAAAAGCATCTTAGAAAAGGCAGTCTTACAATTATTAAATAAATTAAAAAATAATTTTAAAAAGCTTGAATTAGTTTGAAAATTCACATTATTTTCTTAGTGAAGTGTTTAATGAAACCAGATGATTTTGTGTTAACAAGAGATTGATAAATTATTTCTACAGATTTGTTTTTAACAATTTCCTACTGTCTGCAATATTTAGCTATTTTGGTGTGAATTTTATTTGTCTTACAGGTATGAAAGTCCAGAATAATTCCAAAGATTTTTTGTTGAGTGACTGCATACAGTGAAGAGGCCTTGCCTACTCTTTTCAAAATTAAGGCAAGTGGCTGAACTGTAATGAAATATTCTCTTTGTTGGGGTTTTTTTTCACAGTTTTTGAATATACAATGGTTTATAACATAAGATCTCAGGTGAAACAATTAATAGGTTTTAGAAGTCAGATTTATTTTCGGTATTGTACAATTATTTTCTTAGATTATGTATTTATTTTAGTGTTTTGTCTGGATAGATTTTCTACAGTAGTAGTCCACATATGGAGAATTGTATTGGAGCATGTTTTTTTTTTTAATAAATGCACAGTATGGTGATGAAGTGAGTACTGTATAATTCATATAAGTGCTTTAAAAAGATATAAACAAAGAAATAGTATACTGTAGTTCCTGTATAATGGAATATCTATTGGGAAAAAAAATTGCTTCAGAGTTAAGTTGCAAAAGTTAGTAATCTACTCCATAATTTATACAGCTCAGAGTCTTCAAAAACTATGTCTTCATTAAGACTATGTATTCATCATTCTCAAGGTAACTCAAAATTAACTTTTTTCAAGTCAGGGATTTACAAGAAAATACTTAAAATAATGTTAAAGAAATGACATTACCACTTATATCCATTAGTTTAGGGTTTAAAGCAGTAATCCAGAATATGAAGAGATCTGCATATTCTGTCTAATGCATGTACTCAATACCATTATGTCCCATTCTGGGAATGGGAGCTCTGTGAAGAGCTAACTTGGAATAATTAACTATAAAGAGATATAGTATCAGGTCTAACAGAGCAGTCACATAAAATCTGGTAGAACCTGTGTCAGATCCCATCTTCCAGTCCAGAAACAACACCTCTGAATTTGGAATCACAGGAACACAGAACCACAAGACCTCCCAGGTTGGAAGGTAAGCCTAAAGATCATCCAGTCCAACCTTTCATGGGAAAGACAGCCTCGATGAGATTATACAGCAATCCAATTGTGTCTTGGAAACTTTCAGTGACAGAGACTCTACCAAGTTCCTGGAGAGGTTGTTGCAGTGAATGATTGTTTTAACTGTAAAAAAAATTATTTCATATATTGAGGTGAATCCTTGATATATCTTGAGTATTGTAATCAGAAGCTGATTCTTGTTCCTGAGATAAGAACATGGGTCAGAGGGAGGAGATTCAGTTTCAGGTAAACTAAAATAAAACCATCAAAATGATGAAGGGTCTGGAGGGGAAGCTTATGTCAGAACCATGGGTGAATGAAGTCAGATTGAATGTGTGTGTCCTGCCAAACCTTTCTTTAGAAACAAGTTTGCTTAGGATGACATTATATTCTCCTAAAACATTTTTTTCTAAATAGTTAACACTCTCAGTGGGTACACAAAATGCCCAATTTCCAGATCTTGTTCCAAGTAATGTTTCCTGATTTAAGACATCTGTAGGAAAGATTAATGATCCCCTGGCAGGTATTGCATTTTTCTGGGAGCTGGCACTGTAACTTCAAACTTTCAGAAGAGGGCATTCAAGTGGACACTTTAGTACCCTGGCTAGAGATCCTGCCCAGTGGTTATTAAGTGAACAAAAAGAGAAGAGACGCTTTCTTCTTACCTGAAAAGATAGTTTGTGCCCTCCTGTTTTTCCACTGGAAGGTATATCTCAAGTCAAATCTTGTTCGAGAGAGGAAAGCCTATAGTACATAAGAAAAAAAATATTCGATATGTGACAAGCAAACTTTATGAATTTAAACTAATGTAACAGTTTGTCACATTTTGGCTTGAATTATTGCTGCCAATTGTTTATTAACTGATGGTTACTTTTTAGTAGCATAAATACATAAATACTTTGTGTATTTATTCGAACAAAATGTGACATTTCCTACTGTTTCTTCTTCAGCAATAACACAACAGCCTATTGAAGGAATGACTATAGCTTGAAAGGGTAGGGTAGGGAAGGAGCTGCCTCAGGCTTGGTGTGTTTCCTCCATACTTGGTGTGAGTCTTGCAGATCTTTTGTTGAAAAGGGGCCTGAGGAAGTTAGTTGGACTAAACTGTGAAATATAAAATAGAGGTTTATCTTAAAATAAGTAGTGTTACTACTCACTAAACCTGGTTTTCCTCAGAAAGATCCTGGAGGGCAGTAACAACTTATTTCATTGCTAAAGATGCGCTTGAAGTATATTGTAAATATAGGAGAGTACAAATCAATGTATTTGATAATCTAGAAAAGCATCTTTGACATTTAATTTGTCATTGGTAAGAGTGGGTATTATTTATATCCAGACAGGGTAAAGTATTCTGTAATAAATATACTGAAAATATATTCACCTTCACAGCATTTCACAGATGTAGAGGAGTAATCTGTATGGTGTACCTGGAACTGACAAGAAGGGCATTTTAAAACATGAAAACAGTCATGGTAACCTCATCCCTGTTACTGACTCTTCACTTTGATATATGAGTTAGCCAGAAGTCTTTTTTCCAGAAAAAAAAATAGCTCCTATCATAATGTTTGGGATATCAGTTTTATTCAGTATGATTATATAGCTTTTCAGACTTATTTAGGATCATGTGCCTCTTTTTTCCATTCAAAAAGATCTGAACTAAAATTTTTTAATGAAAACTTCCTGTATTAGATATTCTTTCCCTGACTGTGTAAATCAGAGCACAGGTTCCTTTATTTGGGGTAATTTTTACTTAAAAAATAATACTCATGAACAGGTGACATTATAGACTAAATAACTTGTTCTGTGCTGGATGCCACACTGTTCTGTACTGAAGATGGACTGAAGTAATGAATCTTCAGGAATGTTCAGATTTGGAAGGCAACTTAACAATGTTCAATTTCAGATTTTCCTGTCTCAGAAATGAAAAAACAGTTACCTTGAACAGACTGTAGGCAGGAATATCTCTCTGTTTCCAGTACTTCTCTTGTTTTGATTTTTCTACTAGAAGAATCATCTGCTGTTCCCAGCATGAAGATATTATTTTGAGGCATGTGCCAAAACCTCAGCGGTAATGCTAGTCTTGAGGAAAGGAACATATTTTCACCCCTCCTTGATCTCTCATCAAGGTCAGTTTGCCACCAGTCTCAAGAACTACCACCACTCTTTGCTGTTGGACACCCTTTGAATGATAACTGTATGGTTTTTGCTCTCATTCTCTAGACTGTGAAACACTGTTCAAAATCTCACTAGATTTTGAAATGGAAGGACTAAGTGCTTAGCTTCTTATGATAAAAAATTTTAATTACCGGTCAGTATTGCTTTCAATGGGCTGTGTGCAGCTGCACCTATAGAAGCAAGTCCTCAGCTTCTGTTGTCTGGGAAAGAAATACTTACATATTCAAAATAACAGGTATTCAAAACTTCAAATATGTATTATTTGGTTATGTCCACAGGAGTATTTTAAATAAGCTTCTGTTCTGTCATTTCTGAATTTTATTGTAGAGAGTCAGTGCTTTCAGCGGAAAGTAAATAAAGACTGACAGCACTTCTAGTGTTCAGAAAAAAAAAAGCAAGCTGTTCAAGGATGTGTAAAAATGCAGATTGACATAAATTGAGTCAATATTACAGAAACCATTCACGCAAAGCAAACAATAATGTCATGATAAACAATAGAGTGAATATGGGGAAATGACTGTTTTATTGATAGTGAGTCACATCATTCTTTTTTAACTGCTTGAACATTAGTGTATATTTGATTAAACATGGGAATTTTGGACATAATTTCAAAACAAAACCACTTCCTGTAGAACAAGCAAAAAATTAAAACCAGAGTGTTATTTAGATTGAACGGTTTGAAGTATGACAAAGATAAATCATCTTGATCAGTAGAGTAATAGAAATTGATTTGTAGCGTGCCAGATTGTCTGATGTTTTATTCTGCTTATCAGGTAAGGAGGAAAGATACATGGATTGAAGATGAGGGTAGGAGCTCAAATCACAAAATTTATAGCTGGTTGGACCTGAGGTATTTCTCTGGGCTTTCACCTTTTGCTCTATAAGTCTCTGCAGTCAGCAAAATGACTCTGTGCTTCTTGGCACTAAATTTCACTGTCAGTTTTATTGCCAAGTGTCTTCCGTTGTACCCCTTGTGGTACTGTGCTCACTTTCAGTGTCTTAGCAGATCCTTCCACTTTCCACTTGTCCTCGTTAAGGCTAATGCACTTATTTCACAGTTACCACCAACAGATATGGAAGGTATGGAAAGACTTTCTAACTTAAGGATCAGAGAAATTCTCTGTAAAAATTATTGTGCTCTTTTACCTTGTTTTCTAAAGATTCTGAAAACAGGTTTGAATAAGCCAGTTTTAAAATGTCTCAGAAGTCTGGGTTTTGTCCTGTTTAGAGAGCTATACTTCTCAGGATTCTGCAAGCAATAAGAATTTTTTTTTCTTCTTCGTGTTTTACATAGTTTGCTTCCACCAGTGTATTTGATACCTTCCTTAATGGTGCTTGTAGAACCCATTAACCCTTCACAATTGGTGCAGTTTGGGCTGTCAAGTAACCTTTGTAATATCAATGTATTTTGTTACTTTGTAGTTCTCTCTTTTTTTCCAAATCATTTCTATGTAGAACAGCACAGGCTGTTGATATTTTAATGATATCAATATCTGATTATATTCTGCTGCAAAACCTGACCACTGTATTCCTACTATTTTGTATCTGTTAGCTTCTCTTTCAAAGCAATTCTCCTCTTCCAGTGTGTCATATTATCTTCCTATAAATATTTTATAAAGTATTCCATCTTTACTCCACTACTAACCTCCTATTCTGTGATGAAATAATTGAAATAGTTTCTTATTGGTGGGAGTTTTTAATTCTTACTGGTAGTTTAAGTTTGTCTTAAACTCCTGATGAACATCCAGGTTATAAAACACATTGCTGTGATAGAGTATAGATTTTTATGGCTAATCAAGTAAGATTCCTATGTTCAAAGTCAAACTATAATTAGGTAGTAAGAATGACTGCACGTGTCCAAGAACTTTGTGTGTTCTCATCGCATGAAAACTCTTTAATCACAATTGACAGTTGATGAGACATTCACAGTCTTTCACCACTGAGTTGCATCCTACCTAATGTAATCTAATTACTTTATACAGATTTTGCATAAGAAAAAGCACTACAAAGCAATCACAGATGAAACCTCTATGCCTGGTTTGAAATTCCTTCCATCTGGATCTCAGCTTATATGTAATCTCAAATGTACTTCAAACAATTTAAATCCTGCCCTGTATCAGATTTCGCATCTCTTTTTTAAAAAATTAGGGAAATGTGGAAGGGCATGGAGAATATTTTTGTTCATAGCTTAAAGATAAGAAAACTTATGTTTTCTTTTAATTGCTCTGTCCAATATCAGTGACTGGATCTATGGGAAATCCAGCATTAGAACCCAGGCTTCTAGCTCTCAGAGACCGGTTTTAGCTATTATAAAAATACTGCTTATGTCATTTAGCAAAAAGATGCTAGATTTATATACCATCACACATTTCAAAAGTGTAATGAGGGCAGAATTGTTTCTCACACTGATAAAATATTAATATTGAAAACTGAGGTTACTCAGGAAATCATAAAAGGACAGTTCTCCTGGAAAGCCATCTCAGACACATTCCACATCCCCTCTCTCTTACTGATTACATTAATAACACATCATTCAGTGCATTAAGCATTACATTTAACAAACAGCAATGAAAATATTACTTCCTATATAGAACTGCAGAGGCAGTGGTGTAAGAAAAACATTGTCAGAAAACTTCCTGAATTTTTTGCCCTCTGCCTGCCTCAAGTGTATAAAAAACCAAGGTGTGTTTTGTTTCTTGCATCCCCAACTAAATTCTTCTCTTGTGCTGGTGAGAAAGTAAAAGAAATTAAATACTGAAAAAATCTCAGGCTACATCAATCAGCTTTTTTTTTCTGGAGGGAGTGTATGTAATGCGTGTGATGGAAAAGATGGCTTATCTTTTTTTCCTCCTAATGCTTCCAAACTCATATCTAGAGGCCTGACATCCTGTCATCCTGCCTGACACTGCAGGAAGCTCCTAAAAAGAATTAGTAACCAGATAGGGAGCTCCTCATACCTGATTGCTATGGGTGGAAAAGACCATTCAGTATATCTCAGCCTAGGACTGTGTCAGGTCCTTTTGCTGGAGTCCCTAGTTTGACATTCATTGTATTTTTGTTGTTGGCTGAAGTAATTTACCACAGTTTTATGGTGTACTGACCTTCCAAAGGTTGTCCAGCATGCCAATAATGCACATAACAGGAATCTGTCTTTATGGGCCTTATGAAAAACAAAGGAGGAACTCAGGCACATACACTGTTCATGTTTAGATTAGGTAGAGGAAGTCATGGAATTGACACATAAGTATAAAACCTGCTCTGAATGGCCCAAACCATATTTTCACTGCTGTACTGAGAATTCCTGCTGAAAACATGTTTTCCTTTATTCCCTACCTCAACCACAAACCCCATATTTATGTCTGTGTAGTCTAAGTACTATGAAAAGACAAAACTGCAGGGGAAACACCTTTGTATAAAAAGCATATAATTCTTAGCTGTGAAAGGTAACAGGTGCAATTGTGTGTTTGTGTGTAGGGTTCTGGAGTGACTGGTTCCCACTGTCCCAAGCAAAAAGCTACCCTAAGACTGATGGATGTGAGATAATCTGTACTATGTTTTATTTTTCCTCATTTTATTTCGCAGTAACTTTGATAGTAGTATATTTTTTGTATACATCTATGCTCCAGATAGCTTTGCTACCAATGTAAATGCCATTTTTCTTTCCATTAAGGTCATTATACTGCAGTTTCTTAAGGTATTGGGTTGTATTAAAGTGTGTAGGAATACCTTCCTCGGATATTACATTGCACGAAATTATACGAGAATGTCTCTGATTTCATGAAGTCTCTGGTTATTGTGCCAAATAATGATTATGCAATTTGTGTTTTGACAAGAATCACTGTAAGAGAAAAAAATGAGGTAAGAGTACTTGTCAGCAGATAAAGGCAGAATAAAATCAGCTTGTCAGATTCCATAGTTGCCTCACATGAATTTCTTAATTTTTCCCTGTACTTCACCCAGCCTAAGTGAATGAGCAAGTTTGAGGTGGCTTTCCGTCAAAATCTCCAACAGTCAGCGAAAGCCCTTCCCCTCCCTCTCTTTTTCAGCAAAGAAAGGAAAGGAAAAAAAATTATAGAAACTGAGAGAAACCGAAACCAACTGAATTATACCAAAATATATGTGTATTTTTACATATATACAGTTATATGCAGTAAGGATATTATGTACAACTCCCAAGAAAGGGAAGAGGGGAAGGGAAAATAGAAAAAAGGGGGCAAAAAGGGACAAAACCAAAACAGGTATGCACAAACGAGAAACCTGGTAACTAACAAAGTAAAGAACTAGTAAAATCTCACCGCTTCCCTTGAGAAAAGCAGAACACAGCCCCGCACTCTTCCCTCACACGTGGTAGACAACAGCAGTCGCTGCAGGCCTCAGCTCTATATAAGCAAGGCCAACGCAAGGAACCTACTGTTCTCAAAACTCGCCGGAAGAGAAGAGAGAGAGGTCTCTCCCGTCAGCTTTATTTATACTTCAGTTTACGTAAAGGAATAGCATGGAATACTTCCTTGGTCACTTCCCTAGTTCCTTCCTGGTTACAAGCTGGTGTCCAGGAAGGCCAAGGCTGAAACTATCACAGTGAACCCTTGTATTCTCCACAGATCACCAGCCTCTCCCACTGCTTGTACCCATACCTGACCAGAAGTAACAGTAGAGGACCAACTTCCCTCGTTTCCTTCCAGTAACACTTCCAGCACTGTCATGTTCCTGCATGTTCATGTTCATGAACTGCAGTTCAATGATTTTCAAAATGGTATTTTTAGTCACGTTATTCCAAAATCACTAAACTCTGTAAGCTATTACAGGAGAGCAGAGTTTCTTGAATATTTGCTGGGCAAGGATGGTAAGGGCTATTCATACCACTTTTCAGCAGTTTAGGGGAACCAAAATATGAAGCTTATTGGAAATATGTGGGGTTTATATCCTCCAGGCAGAAGATGCATTTTATAGCCCTTGTTTGAAACTTTACCTGTTGTTATCCTTTCACTACTTCTAGTAACCATTTCAATTCAAGTATTATAATGCTAAGGCTTCAGCTAATAACTCTTAAGGGTAACAGAATCCCCCTCGTAGGCCAAAACAAAGTCTATCTAAACCAATACCACATTTCATGTCAATAGCATTTAGGCATTTTGTGATATTCTGCCCAGCCTGCAGCATAACACAGCTCAAGAATAGGTCTTGTCTTGTATATTTTTCTTCATATGAAAGAAACTAGCAAAATATGAAATTAATTTTTAAAGGTAATTGTTTCTATGAAGCTTTACTTTTTTCTAGTATTTGCTCTAGAAAGAAATATGTGAAAAATAATTCCTACCTATCAAAATCAAAATTGTTAAAAGCTAGACTTTGCACAAATCTTAAAGTTGTAAGCCATCTAAGTAGTTTTTTTCCTAAATATATGAGTGATTACTCTTGTCTTTATGGGTTATTAGGATATTGTTGAAACACAATGAAATTACTGATTTAATTCTCTCTATATTGCTACATATGAAGTTTTATTAAGTTACTGAAAAAAATAATATTAATGGTTATGTTATGTTCTACCAAAAATCATCTTTTCCTTTTTAAAAGTGGATTAAGAGAAAATAATTCTAATTTTTGTTTAGCTCTGTTACCTGCAACTTATATAAAATAAATTTAATCCATCTCTGTTTCAGGCATTAATTTTGTGACCAGTGATTCACAACAAGCTTTCTTCTCTTGAAAATTGCATTAAAAACTGTGATTATGACCTCACAAAAAAATCAAAAAATGGCTAATGCTTAAGTTCTTTCTAAGAGGAAAAACCCAAGTTTGTCTTTCTAAAGAAAAAGTGCATTGGGAAAATAGGAATAGAAGAGGATGGTAAAATGAAACTCCTGGGCTTCACAAATTTGTTTCTGTGTGTCACTACTTTATTTGAAGTATATCAGGGAGAAAACCTTTGGTAAGTAACTTCTTACACTTCTTTATGACAAGAAATACTGATATTGAACTAAATACTGAACTAAATGCCCATGATTATTATCTACAACAGCCTCTTTCCAGTAAATTTAGATATCTACTAAAAATACTATGTGAAACAAAAGTAAATGTCTAAAAGTCAAATATGATTCATTACCATAATAGAAACTTATACAGTAAACATAAAAGCTAGATAATATCATACTGCAATGCCTACAAATAATACATCCATGTTTGTGGGAAAAGAGAGTATTTTCTGTTCGTTGACTGAGAAAGATATTTACAAAAACTTTCAATTTGTTGCTTTTCTATCTGCAGAGTGATTGTAGTGTGGAAATGGATTTTCTGTTATATTAAACATAAAGGAATAGTTCGGGGGGGTTTCTATTAAGAATAAATTGCTTTTGTTGTTTATTAATTTAGAAATGTTTATAAACTAATGGCCTTATTAGACTCAGAAAAAACTCATTGTGTTGCCAAAATATTTAAATATTTTGAGATAAACTAATAATGGATATGAAATTTTGTCACCACTGCAAATAACAGAAATGTACAAAAATAATTTCTATTCTTTATATCAGAAATATCAGTTAATATAGTCAGATATACTGTAATTAAGTGCCAGTGAACATGAATAGTCCTTTAATATAGGCAGATGTCATATGACTATTCCAAATAACACATTCCTTTTTATTTTTCTAAGCCGTAGGTAATTGGTTCATTTTTTGGTTGTTGCATGCATTCTTAAAATCCAGAGGAAAACAAAACTACTCATATCTGCTGATATGTCCCCTTTTTTATGTGCTTATTTTCATATTTTAGACATTGAAAAAAATTTAAGTCACCCCATGGTTTCCTCCTGAATATGTATAATTCTTGCACATATTACATTTCACTTCTCCCAAAAGATTTTGTAAAAAAAAAAAAAACCAAAAAAAAAACAACCAACAAAAGTTCAAGTTTTGGGAAGAACAGTCTGGAAAAATTGTAAATATCCTTCTAATATCATTCCTTGTAGAAGTATCCAATAGTGAACATATTTGCAAAAAAAAAAAACCTGATTGGTTTCACCATAGACTTAAGTTGTGGCATATATATATAGATATATATATATATCTATATCTCAGACATATGTATATAATATATATCAGATAGTCAAGAAAGTCAAGAAAGATCTTAGCAAACCGTGTCTTAGTAACCGGATTTATATAAAAATAGAAGAAAATGTTCCTCTGTTTTGGGATTTTTTTGTCTTTGTGCAATTCTTCTTTTTCACTCTCATTTTCAGTGGTTGGTTAATTTTCATAAAAGTTTTTGTAGTGGTTTGAACCAGGTTTTCCCCCTGAAACTAGGAAAGTGGTAACCCCAGGGGGTGGTGACCCTTGGGGTTTGACCCAATCAGTACTCTTGCAAAATATAAACATATGTCTGGAGACCAGAAAAGAAGCAGTGGTACTTGTTAGTGGGAAGAAGAGGTGGCCATGTTGTGGTGAGGCCATGAGGAGCCCCTTGGGGGCTTTGCCCCCCCCCAGCCCCCGGCTGGGGGGCTATGTGGACTTGGAATGGTGTTGAACTGAACTAAGTGCCTGTGGCTGAGAAGTTGGAGGAGTTTTCTCCACTGCGAGTGGGCGACGGAGCAGCAGGGACAGCAGCGTCCGAGAGCAGTGGCAAAGAGCCAACAGATAAGAACCAGAAGAAGCAGTAGAAGCCGGTATGCTGCATGGAAGACACAGAGGTGTCTGAGGAAAAGGAAAAGCAGCAGCAGGAAGAGAACCAAGCCAGCAGCAGAGACAGAGTTTGTTGGGGTAAGAACTAAATAACCAAAACCCCCAAACTCCCCTGGAGACTCCTCTGAAGAAAGAGGAGGATGATTGGACTCACTTGAAGAGTCTTGGAGTGCAGTATGCACTGCTGAAAGGAGCTAGGAAGCTCATGGCCTCCTGAGAGCTAAAGCCAGGACAGCCAAAGGAATGTGTGTGTGTGTGTGGGGTGACCTTGGCCCCCCCCCCCACTGCTGCCAGGCTTCAGAGAAGCTGGCAGCCATCTTTGAGTCAGAGCATGGGAGCTCTGCACAGGGGCTTGATTTCCCCTGAGGATACCAGACCGTCACGAAGACCCCTGTGCTTCGTGATATGACTGTGGTGACGCGACCTTGTCTGGGGTTACGCAGCCCACGGAAAGACCCCCGTTTTGAAGACAGAGAGCCGAGAGAGG